TCGAACTAACGCGTCCCGGCGCGCACTTCCTCGTTCGAATCAGCTGTCATTTGAACTAGTGCGCCGGCGAGATCATGCTCTGGAAGTGTGGGATATTTAAATCCCTGCTTCATTAGCAATTTCGAATGCCTGCATTTGCATCCCTAGTTTGAACACGACATACCCTTATCGATCCTGAAACTCCAGGACTAACGTAGCCTTGTCACTAGCTTGCCCAAGCCAATGGGTGTCTTGCAAAGTGAACTTACCTAATTTTCAATAGTCCGATATCTAACTCGGGTTAGCCTGTCTGCGCGTTACATTCACACAAAGTACATCAAAAAGTCCTTTGGTGACCTAAACACAAAGACTACGTCTACACTCCAAGGTTTTTGCACAAAAACCCATGGAGCATCCGCACCTCAAATGGACTTTTGCGCAAGTAAATCAACAGTAAAATGGCAGAAGAGAGGGCTTTTTCTGGTGTAGGTAAACCTCCTTCAAAAAGCCAGAACTCCTTTTTGCGCTTCAGCTATTGCGCAGAAAGGCAAGTGTGGATGCTCACAAGGGAAAAAAGCACAGAATGACCATCAGAGCTTTCTTGCGCAAGAGCGTCCATGCAGTGTGGACACTCTCTTGCACAAAAGCACATCACTTTTGCAATGTGCTTTGAGATGTGGACGTGCTCTTGCACAAGAACCATGTAGCGTAGACGTAGCCAAAGTGTGATCACCAAAGTGTGTAGGCCCTGACTCAGACTACATCTACACTGCAATCTTCTTCTGGAAAAAGGTTCGCAAATTGTGAACTACAATTTGCGTACATTTTTCCACTTTTTTATTCAGAAGAGGCTTTTCGGACATTTGGCCCGTCTACACAGGGCCAAATGTGAGAAAAACCTCCTCTTTTGGAAGAGCCCTTATTATTCATTCCATGTGAGAAAAACCTCCTCTTTTGGAAGAGCCCATATTATTCATTCCAAAACTGATCCGAAAAAGTGGACGTGTTCCCTGGACGCAGCAGAGTTTTTCCCGGATACCTCCAGTATCCCAGAAAAACTCTGTAGTATAGACATAACTCCAATCTGGCTTTGTGGATTATGGTAGAGGCAAGATCCTTCCTTCCTGCCTCATGGAACTGATGTTTGATGGAAGCAGCCAGTTCTTTTTATTTGACTTGGTGGACGTTGAAAGGCTGCCACCTGTTCCCTAACCGTTCTAGCTGCTGGAAGACAGTCTCACTGGTTCCACCAGCTATTAATCCTGAAAAGACTTTCTAGGCAAACTGGAAATCCAAAACTCACTGTTCTTTTTTTAAAGAGCTGCTTTCTGGGGTGGGTTCACAAAGAGAGAGAGGTCTTGGCAAGAGTTAGCGAATACCTAGTCAACCTGCCTCAAGCCTTTTTACCACTTCTGGCATCATGTGGAGGATCCTTCAAGTGGAAACAGCAAATAGAATGTTAGGAGTCATTAAAAAAGAGATAGCAAATAAGACAGAGAATATCTTATTGCTTCTATATAAAACCATGGTATGCCCACATATTGAATCCTGCATACTGAAGTGGTCGCCTCATCGCAAAAATGATATATTGGCATTGGAAAAGGTTCAGAAAAGGGCAACAAAAATTATTAGGCATTTGGAATGGTCCCATATGAAGAGAGATTAAAAAGACTTGGACTTTTCATCTTAGAAAAGAGGAGACTAAGGGAGGATATGATAGAAGTCTATAAAAATCATGACTGGTATGGAAAAAGTGAATAAGGAAAAAGTATTTACTTATTCCCACAATCAAAGAACTATGAGTCACCAAATGAAATTAATAGGCATTTAAAACAAACAAAAGGAAGTTTTTCTTCCCTCAGCACACAGTCAACCTGTGGAACTTCTTGCCAGAAGACGTGGTATAGGCTAGAACTTTAACAGGATTAAAAAAGGAGCTACATAGATTCATGGAGGTTAGGTACATCAATGGCTATTAGCCAGGATAGGTAGGAATGGTATCCCTAGCCTTTGTTTCTCTAGAGGTGGATGACAGGGGAGAGATCATGTGAGGATTACCTGTTGTGATCTCTCCCTCTGGGGCATCTGGTATTGGCCACTGTTGGCAGACCGGATACTGGGCTAGATGGACCTTTGGTCTGACCCAGTATGGCCGTTCTTATGTTCCCTAACTGGCTATAGCTAAATCAGCAGAAAATTTTTTTAGGACTGGAATTAGTAGTCTTCCAGCTTGTATATGTTAATAGAAAATGGGCTTTGGAAGAACAAAGCTAGGGAAAAAGTCTCAGGGGTTAGCCATGTTAGTCTGTAACTTTGTTAGTTCTCTACCTTAGAGACTAACATATATATATATATATAAATATAAATATGTGTGTATGTGTGTGTGTATTTGTGAATATAAAAACCTCATTATTAAATATTCTTATTCAACAATGTATGAGATACCTCCCAATCAGAGAAAAGACATTGGGTGAAATCTTAGCTTCAGTAAATGCAATAGGAGTTTTGCCATTGACTTCAGTAGGACTAGGATTTCACCCATAATCCCTGATTAGAGAAAATGAATTTCAGACAAAATACAATAGATAAGGTAACAAAATGGTAGGGAAGAACAGATGAGATAAGAAAGAGGCAACATCTCTAAGATTACAGTTGTACTCAGTGAAATCTAGTGCACACTATGAGGCAGTCAAGATTTTAAAACATATATATAAAACATACATTTAAAACATATATATAAAATGAATAAGCCGAAGGCTAACCAATGAATTTTGAATTTTTCATGGGCATTGCAGAAGTACAGAAGTAGTAGCTATTCCAGAGGGATTTAAATGAGGAGAAGGTAGCAACTTTCAACTCAAGAAGGGTCCGTGTTCCATATATAAATGGAATTGTGTAAGGATGTGCACAGATATGAGGAAGAGCAAATGGAATGTCAGGGCTGGCGTTACTGGTGAAACAAACTAGGCAGGGGTGACATAAGAGACTATATCAGATAAATACAGAGAGGACAGTTTTTTTATAGCTTGTTCCCATTTACCTTTTTTCAAACCAAGGTAAGCAGCACTTTGTACATGTTAGTTCTTTACACTATAGAGTTGCACTGGTAGAGCTGCAGTGATGTAATGTCACTTAGGGCATGTCTACACTGGGGGGGTTTCCAAAAGGAGATATGTAAATTTGGTGCTAATTTGCATATCTTCAGATCGCGTTTTCGAAAGCGGGTCTTTTGCAAATGAAAGTAGTCTGGACACAGTTTTTTTTTTTCAGAAAAAACCCCTTCTAAAAAAAAGTGATCAGAAGAAGATATGCAAATTGGCACCAAATTTGCGTATCTCCTTTAGAAAAAAAAGGTGTCTAGACATGCCCTTAGGGGAAAAAACCTAGTTACAGTGTTGCCAACTCTTGAGATTTTATTGCAAGTCTCACAAATGTGTTTTTCATAAAGCCCAGATTCTGGAATTATGATATTGCATGACAATTTCAGTTTTCATATTTTAAAAAGTAAGTTTCTAGACCTCATGTTTGCTATAACAGGGTCCCCTTTAAGTCCAGGGAGCCTACTTTAGCCTGCCCTGTTTACTTTATCAGCTCCGTCTTATAAGGGATCTGGGTTTTTCTATCAAAGGGTGATAGGGCTTAGTTGAAAGGCAGCTGCAAGAGGAAGTTGGCTGCTTTGGCTAGCTGTGTGTCAGTCAGCTGGCCAGCCTCTGGACCCCGACAGCCCACATAAATTGTGAGTTTTCTTTGTATTAATAAAATGGTGCCCTGGAAGAAAACTCTGAAAGATGGGGCCTGACAGTGAATCTTTATTAGGAAGGTTGGGAGAATTGAAATTGAAGGAAAAACTCAGGAAGCAGCTCTAGCCCAACTGTATAATGCAGCTCCTTGACAGATGCAAAGGAAAGCTTGAAAATGTAAAGTAAGTGCACCCTTAATGCTCAAAAACCAGAAATAAATAAAAAGAACCCAATACTTATTTTTTAAAATCTCAATAGTTTTAAACCAACCTTATGATTTTGAGAAGCTAGATTCTTGATTTTTGAGTGTTGACAATAATGTTTTTCCTGACTTGAGAAATTGTCTTATATAAAATAATAGTAATAAAATATAAAATTAGAGAGTCTAACACAACTGTTCAAGCATACTACATAGTATTTTAAAAGTGATCCAGGAAAATGACTATTAGGCAGGGCCAGTTTCGTGGTCACAGGATTCACCATTCAGTTAATCTCATGCCTTAGTTATGTGATCAAGAATCTGTTTTCTTTGTTTTTATTTTAAAAACAATCTTTCTAGCCCTCCCTCTTTCTTATAAAGTGAACCTTAAAAACTTTGACTGCATGTAAAATGCTGTAGTTATTTTCCTGAGTCTGCGGGGAGCTGAAAACTACATTTCAAAGAAATGGGAACTGCACTATGTACCTTAGTAGGGAGTCATCTTTGAAACGTAAAGATAACAATTTTAATGTCAGCACTTACCTTCTTCATTTTTGATTCTTAAGGTTGCTAACTTGCTTAGTAAACAAGTTTACTCTCTCATTTCTCATCAAAGCTTTTCATTATTCAAATTATGATCAGAATTTTAGTTGAAATTTTCATTTAGATTATGTAAATAGAGCTTCATTATATGTATTTTTAATTTTATGATTTGGTATACCCAAATCTGTTGCTAAATGCAGAATAAAAAATAATATTTATAGTTATACAAGTAAAGATATTAATTAAATCTCATGCTTAAGGGCATAACAATTGTCATGCAACGATTAGGAAAGAATATTCTCTGCATATACAGCATTTCACACTTGTCTAGGTACATTAAGGTAGTTGGGGTTTTGTTTGTTTCCTTTGAATCATCATATATGGCTGTTAGGATATAAATATGGTCTGATACAGTATGGCAATTTATACTTAGAAATGAATGAGTTGTTATATAACCATAAGCCTGAATTTTAATAATATTATATCCACTAGTATTTGTCGTTCATTAATTCTTGTCAATATCTTCTTTTCAATCATAGGTAATTTTCAGATGGTGGAAAATCTCTCTTAGAAGTGAATTTCGTGAAGCAAAGCCTGGGGAACTTAAAGAATCTCATGAGTACTTCTTGGATGATCCATCTCTTCAGAGTAAGAAAAAGCTACAACTTATTGTTGGGGATATGGAACGGCTATGTAATTATTTAGGAACACCGCTCTCATGGAATGAGGAGTAACAGTTAATTCGAACTAAAGACTTAGTTCGAATTAACGTTTCACTGCCACATGTAGCCGCGCGGCAGTAAGTTCGGGCTAGTGAAATTTCAAAATGGCAACCGGATGGGAACATGCAAATAAACATGCAAATATTTAAATCCCGGGCTTCATTTGCAATTCCGGTTGCCTCATTTGCCTACCTAGCTCAAATTAACAAGCTAGTGTAAACATACCCTAACAGATTTATTAGGGCATAAGCTTTCATGGGTAAAACCCAATTTCATTTTACCCACAAAAGATTGTTATGCCTTAATCAATCTGTTCTGGTATGTCTACACAGCAAAGTTATTTTGAAATAACAGCCGTTATTTTGAAATAACTTTCCTAGCATCTACACAAGCCAACTGCTATTTTGAAATTATTTTGAAATAGTGGAGGGCTTATTTCGAAATTGATGAACCTCATTCTACGAGGAATAGTGCCTATTTTGAAATAGTCACTGTGTAGACAGGGACTAGAGGCTATTTCAAAATAGGGGGCCTCCAGCCCTTCCCAGGGTGCCCTGGTGGTCACTCTGGGCACAAACAAGAAAACTCCTCTCCTTCCTCCCCCTCCCGGAGCCCTTAAAGGGATAGAGTCTGGCCACAGTCTTCTGTGGCTAGCACCAGGCCTGCCAACCCAGAGCCACTCTGCCGCTGCCCCTGAGCCAAGCCGCAGCATGAGCCAGCAAGCCACTGACAGCCAGCTCAGATCATGGACCTGACTGAGGTTTGGGGGGATGCCGCCAACGTCCATGATCTCCGCACTAGATGGAGGAATGTAGCTGTCTACAGCTGGATGGGTGCCAGCCTGGCCACCAAAGGCCACATCCGAACCCAGGAGCAGGTTCGGATGAAAATCAAGGAGCTGCAGCAGGCGTATGCCAGGGCCACAGGGGGCAACTCCCAACCAGGGGAAGACCCAGAGAGCTGCCCCTAATTGGACGCCCTGGACCACATCCTGGGGCGTGGGACGGTCCGTGCCCCCCAGGTGGTCATCGACCCTAGGGCAGAGAGAGGATTTATCTAGTTCTCTTTTAAACCTGTTATAGTCCTAGCCTTCACAACCTCCTCAGGCAAGGAGTTCCATAGATTAACTATGCGCTGTGTGAAGAAGAACTTCCTTTTATTTGTTTTAAACCTGTTGCCCATTAGTTTCATCTTGTGGCCCCTAGTTCTTATATTATGGGAACAAGTAAATAGTTTTTCCTTATTCACTTTCTCCACACCACTCATGATTTTATATACCTCTATCATATCCCCCCTTAATCTCCCCTTTTCCAAGCTGAAAAGTCCCCGTCTCTTTAATCTTTCCTCATATGGGACCCGTTCCAAACCCCTAATCATTTTAGTTACCCTTCTCTGAACCTTTTCTAATGATAGTATATCTTTTTTGAGATGAGGAGACCATATCTGTATGCAGCATTCCAGATGTGGGTGTACCATGGATTTAAGTAAGGGCAATAAGATATTCTCCTTCTTATTATCAATCCATTTTTAATTATTCCTAACATCCTGTTTGCTTTTTTGACTGCCGCTTCACACCACGTGGACGTCTTCAGAGAACTATCCATGATGACTCCAAGATCCCTTTCCTGATTAGTTGTAGCTAAATTAGCCCCCGTCATATTATATGTATAGTGGGGGTTATTTTTTCCAATGTGCATTACTTTACATTTATCCACATTAAATTTCATTTGCCATTTTGTTGCCCATTCATTTAGTTTTGTGAGATCCTTTTGAAGTTCCTCGCAGTCTGCTGTGGTCTTATCTACCTTGAGCAGTTTAGTATCGTCTGCAATTTTTGCCACCTTACTGTTTACCCCTTTCTCCAGATCATTTATGAATACGTTGAATAGGATTGGTCCTAGGACTGACCTTTGGGGAACACCACTAGTTACCCTTCTCCATTCTGAAAATTTACCATTTATTCCTACCCTTTGTTTCCTGTCTTTTAACCAGTTCTCAGTCCATGACAGGATCTTCCCTCTTATCCCATGACAACTTAATTTACGTAAGAGCCTTTGGTGAGGGACCTTGTCAAAGGCTTCCTGGAAATCTAAGTACACTATATCTACTGGATCCCCCTTGTCCACATATTTGTTGACCCCTTCAAAGAACTCTAATAGATTAGTAAGACATGATTTCCCTTTACAGAAACCATGTTGACTTTTGTCCAACAAATTATGTTCTTCTATGTGTTTGACAATTTTATTCTTCACTATTGTTTTTAAATATTGGCATTACGTTAGCTATCTTCCAGTCATTGGGTACAGAAGCTTATTTAATGATTAGGTTACAAACCATAGTTAATAGTTCTGCAATTTCACATTTGAGTTCTTTCAGAACTCTTGAGTGAATGCCATCTGGTCCTGGTGACTTGCTACTGTTAAGTTTATCAATAAATTCCAAAATCTCCTCTAATGACACTTCAATCTCTGACAAGTCCTCTGATTTGTCACCTACAAAGGATGGGTCAGGTTTGGGAATCTCCCTAACATCCTCAGCCATGAAGACTGAAGCAAAGAATTCATTTAGTTTCTCCGCAATGATTTTATTG